GTTTAGGGGTTTAGGGTTTAGGGGGTTAGGGGTTTGGGTTTAGGGTTTAGGGGTTTAGGGTTTAGGGGTTTAGGGGTTTAGGGTTTAGGGTTTAGGGGTTTAGGGTTTAGGGTTTAGGATTTGGGGGCTTAGGGTTTAGGGTTTAGGGGGTCTTGCTTCCACGCGGAGGGTTTAGAGATGTTTAGGGTTTGGGGTTTGGGATTGAGAGCTTAGGACTTAGAGCTAGTTCAGGTCTAGGCCCTGGCGCCCTCCTCCTGGATACCCGAAACGTTGCAGACTTTCTGTCTAGGACATTTTCAGGTGGGTAGTTACCGTTATCGGAGCCTTATAGAAGGTCTATATACCTTATGGAAGCCTTATAGGCTTATAGAAGCCCTATATACCCTAAACTCCCCACCTGTAGTGTTCGTCAATGACGACATTTCCGAACAATATCTCATGCTGCTCAGAAATCAACTCTCAGAAGCCTTTGGAATTGTCGGCCATGACTCGAGATGGGCTATCACATGACGGCAAGCTGCAAGAGCTTATGAACGGTTAGATTAAGATTGCAACATGACATTCAAGGCCTGTGCAAAATGCGCGGTTTTTAATTGAACCAGAAGGATTTTCAATCGGACAAGCTTTTTGCAGGCAGGCGCTGCGACGGGCATGCAGTGCCAGTGGTGGTTTCTGGAGTTGTAGGGTGGGAGGCTTGCAATGGGAGGTTTGCGGTGATTTCTGCTGGAGTTGTCGGGGAGGAGTATTGGGGCGTAGCGGTTGTTGTATGCTGCGGTAGGATGTGGTCGAAAATGGCCAAAGGTTCAGCCAGCTGCTACAACCGCAAAGCACGATCTCACTGCTTTCAACCGCCTCGAAATCGCCACCGGCTCTGAACCACAGAAATGCATACGCCAGATTTCCAAGGCCCGGTCAGAGCCCGAAGTCCCAAAGGGACGTAGAGTTCTCCGAAACCCCCGGCCTACGAAGCCCTTGCATGCCGCAAGGTGCCTTGATCAGCTGCTGCAAGGGCGGGCAGTGGCAGCTAGCCCTGGCGGTGCTGGACAGAATGCCAAAGGCTACCTTCAAGGGATTCCACTGATCTGCACCTAAGTTTTAGGGTTTACGGTTTAGGGTCCTAGACCCCCTAAACCTTAAACCCTACACCGTAGACGTGTGTTTTGAATCGCGGTTTGGAGTCTGCTAGAAGGCTCAGAGGTAGTTGTCATCAGCATTGTGCATACCTTAAGTTTTGTATGACCTACCACAGCGCTGGCCGCCTGACGGGCAATCTTACTGTTAACTGCAGACAAGCAGCAGTCGTAGTACCAGTAATGGCTGGCTTGCCGTCACAAGGCAGATTTGCAGCAAGGTGAAGTCGATGCAATGATAAGTGTCTAGTAATTTAGGGGTCTCACACTCGCAGGTTAGATTCCTTTGCCCCTTGAGATTCAGGTTTATGGTTTCGGGTCTCTCTGAAACTAGTGTCTGTTTTCTAACCTTGCTAGGCCAAGATCGCTCCGAATGCCATCAGCTACACTTCGGCCATGGGTGCCTGCGAGAAGGGTGGGCAGTGGCTCTGGGCGCTGGAACCCGGGGCTGCAAAAGCTTCGAAAAGCCAGAGGTTTCCACGGTTTAGGGTTTAGGGTTTAGGGTTTCGGCCCTAAGCCCTAAACCCTAAACCCTGTAAGTCCTAAACCTTCAACCCCAAAAAGCCCGAAGCCCAACAGGTTCGCTGAACCCTGAAGCCAGGAAGCTCTAGAGATTCGGAACAGGATACCTTCATAATTCTCAAGAGGGGTTTGGCGGTACAGACATTTATAGGGACTGCAAGTTTGATGATTCTCAGCCCCGAAGCCAGCCGCACTGAAACACTGCTTGAAAAGTTGCTGGGATATGGGCCGTATACATGATATATAATTCCACTTGGAACCAGGAAGTCGACATGATGTGCGCGGTTTTGGGAGGCTTGAGGCTAGGTGTTTCGACTTAGCAGGTTTAGGGTTTAGGCTTTTGGGGTTAGGGTTTAGGGTTTAGGGTTGTTTAGAGTCCCGGGTTACCTGGACATATGCAAGGTGCTTGCCCTTGAGCTCCAGAGTCCCCAAGATACAGTACTCCCATAGTCACCCCATAGTAACCCTATAGTAACCCTATAGTAACCCTATAGTAACCCCATAGTAACCCTATAGTAGCCCTATAGTAACCCTATAGTAGCCCTATAGTAGCCCTATAGTAACACCCTTCTAGAAACCCATCATGTCAAACACCACGAGCTCAAACCGTGCGGAATCCTCGAAACTGTTGTTTAGGGTTTAGAGCTTATGGTGTCTTTTGGGATTTGCGGTTTAAGGGTGTAGGGAAACCCCTAAACAATAAACCCTAAACCCTTGAGCTTTCTGCCAAAGTATCCAGGAACTCTTCAGCCAGCTGTCCCGCTCCAAGCTCACTCCCAATGCCATCAGCACCCGAGCTCGCAGTTTTAGGGTTTAGGGTTTAGGGTTTAGGGTCATGGGTAGTCATACGTAGCACCTTAAGGTATGACAGCGGCTCTATTGCAAGTTAAGGTACCTATCCACCCTAATTACTTATCCCTAAACCCTAAACCGTGAACTCCTAGATCAAGTGAATCTACTTATCCACCCTACCTATCACTATCCATAGACCTCAAAGTCGAACTTCTTTCCACACACCCCGGCTCCCCCCCAAAAAAACAGGACAAAAGCCCAAGGCCGTTCAAGTAAAGACCCGGCAGCCCAAGCACTGAGAGCCCTAAAGCCGAAGGCCTAAACTTCAGCAGCCCTGTAAACCCACACTGACCGCCTTTTTTTTGAAAAGCCGCTTGCCTCACTTTCCGCAAAGATATAGACTGGATGATTTAGGGTTTGGGCCTACTAGTGCTTGAGGTTGAGGGTTTTAGGATTTAGGTTTCAGGCTTTACGGCTTGGGGTTTAGGGTTTTGGATTTAGGTTTCAGGGTTTAGGTTTCAGGGTTCAGGGCTCAGGTTTAGGGGTTTAGAGCTTCGGGATCAGGGCGCGGGTAAGCAAGCATGTGAATTAGCAAGTTCAGAGGTTGTTCCTTAAGCACGGACCTGCCCCTCGTTCTTCAAAGCGCGTAAACCCCTAATCCCTAGACCCCAAACCAAACAGGCCAGATATGGCAAGCCTCGACTACGTACTTCAGGGATCACGGGACTTTGTGGTTTTATAGCTGTAGAGTCGGGTAGAGTTATAAGTTATAAGTAGGATAGCCCCAAGTAGGGTGCGCACAGATGGGGTTCGTAGACCTCCGAGCCGAGGGGAAGCCTCCGCCGTCTAGAGGTCACAGCTGTGCCTTGAGTGCTTGCCAATCGGGGGCACAGTGGCAGCGTGCTTTGGTGTTCCTGGACCTGAAAGCTTTTGGGCGGGGGTTGAGGGGTGTAGGGTTTAGGGGTTTGGGGTTTCAGGGTTTAGGGTTTAGGGTTCGGTTACTGTGGGGAGTTTGGGGCGAGCAGCAACAACAGCACCAGCAGCTACAACAACAACAACAACAACAACAGCAGCAGCAGCAGCAGCAGCAGCAGGGTTTGCTGAGCAGCTTCTTCGCATGCTTTGGGTCAACCAACATCTCCTTTTCGGGCTTGGGTTTCCCAGCAATTCCTTTTGGGCAGGGTTTCCACATCTCCTTTGAGGGTCTGGGGTTTGTCAACAGCAGCTTCTTTGCAGGCTTTGGGTCAGCCAACATATCCTTGTTAGTGTTGTTGGTGAAATGTACTGTTGATGTTATGGAGGATGACGGTGACAATGATGGTCGTGATGATAAGACGCTGGCGATACTGATGCTGGTGGTTATGCTGATGGTGGTGACGATTGACGACGATTGCAATCAATCTGGATGGGTCAAGCGGTGATTTTGGTGATGACGATTACCCGTTCCTTCTGGGACTAGGATTTGTTGCAAGAGGATTCAGGATCTGACTTTGGGGTACAGTTGCAGTTCCGGATACAGCATTGCACTCTCGCTCTCAGAGAGGCAGCCTCGGGGCTGACGAACACAAATTGAGCTGTAAACCCGGAAATCCCTAAACCCTAAACCCTAAACAGTAATCCCCGAAGCCCGAAGTCCTAAACCGACGCCGGGAATTCTAGCTAACACACACAAGGGCCTGGACCAATCTGCATTGTGTCTGATGGAAGCCCTACACCCTGTACGCCAAACACGACACCCTGCACCCTAAACTCGACACCCTGCACCCTCAGCCCTGAACCCAGACAGGCTTTTCGGCGAAATGTTCCAGATGCAGCTATCACCGGATGTTGTGAGCTACAGCGCTGCGCTTCTTGATCCTGTTTTGCGGTGAGAGCTTGTCGGTTTCTATAAGGTTTTTTTTTTTATAAATAAACCTTATAATAAACCCTAAACCCTAAACCCCAAACCCTAATCCCTAAACCCTAAATAAGGACTGTACAAGGATGTAGGGTCCAGGGCTTAGGGCTTTAAGGAGTTTGGAGCTTCAGGGTTCGGTGCCAGGTTTACGTTTTAGGGTTTAGGGTTCTGGGTTTTGGGTTTAGGTTTTAGGGTTTAGGATTTAGGGTTTAGGGTTTAGGGTTTAGGGTTTAGGATTTAGGGTTTAGGGTTTCGGGTTGTGTTAAGTCGGCTTGTGTGTTGTTCAAACTCAGGGCCGTTGGGGCCTGGGCCCTTGGTTGAGGGTTTCGAGAAAGCTTGGTTCCCCAATACCCAACCTTTAAAATTTTTGGTTCTTTTAATTTAGTAGTAATCTGAAAGTTTAACCTTTTATTTCCCTGGCTTATTGGGGAGGTAAGAAAAAGCTATCAATTCGAGTCTGTCTTCGCGGCCCTTATTGTTCTGGGTCAGGAGTACCTCAGCCATGATGCCAAGATTCAGGGTTGCTTATTTCCTGGTCTAAGCTCTAAACGCAGAAAATTTGTTCGGGATTCCGACTTGGGTAGCCGGGTGGTTTAGGGTTTAGGGGTAGTTTTTGGGTCGTTGGGTTTGAAGCTTGAGGCCAAGCCCATGAAGGAAGCCAAAGTGCTACGCCCCGATATAAGGACTGCTAGGGTTTAGGGCTTCGGGGTCCGTCCAAGTGCCCGTCAGCGCAGTACGGCAAACTACTCTGTTGCGGCACCTGAAGAGACAGACCAGTGTGGAATTGCAGTCCTGAGAAGGACCTTCTCATGCCCTTCACCTAAAACTTGAACTCCAAGACCTGGATCATAAACCCTATATACTACTACTTCAACCCTAGAGCCTACTTGGTGCGTTGCATGTGATACGAGGCTGGCCGCGTGCGCTCGGGGTGGTCGCTGGCGGCTGGCTATTCATTTTTTCGAAGGAGCTGCGTAAACCCGATAGCAGCATCGACGCTTGTTGCAAGTGTAAAGGAGATAGATGCGCAGCAGAGAGATAATCAGCTTACAAAACGAAACATGCACACTCTGTGTATATTTTAGTTTTGATATGTACATATGTATTTATACACATACATGTACGTTTAGAGACATACTCTAGGTGTACATTCAGGTCTCTCCGTCTGCCTGTCTGCCTGCCTGGCTGGCTGGCCGGCAGGCTGTCTGTCTATCTGGTTGTACACATGTATGGTATTCTGTGCGTATGTACGTACACACATGCATGCCCGCATGCACCCTCATGTAAAAGTACATATGTACACAGGCAGCTCTTCATCCACGTCTGTACATATGTATTCGTGTACACAATTGAAATCATGTGTGTGTATATTTATATGTATATCTATACAGACACACATATACATATATATATATATATATATATATGTATGAGAGAGAGAGAGAGAGAGAGAGTGGAGCCACAACCCCATTGTCGAATAGCTTTTGTGAGAGTTTTCGGCTTGTGGAGGCGGGCGTGGACAAAACCCGAAAGCCCTGAAGCCCTAAACAACTACACCGCTAAACCCCTAAAGCCCTAAACCCTAAACCCTAAACCCTAAAACCCTAAAACCCTAAAACCCTAAACCCTAAACCGTGAAGGTTCAGACCCTAAACCTGGTTCTTCGTTCCGGGGCAGGAATGAAGGATCACCGGATCCGGCCCAATGTCGTCGCCTACAATGCGGCTCTGGATTGCTTGCAGCAGCGGGAGGTCGGACGCTGGGTTCAGAGTTTAGGGTTTTAGGGGTTTTAGTCTTTAGGGTTTTAGGGGTTTTAGTGTTTAGGGTTTTAGGATTTTAGGGTTTCAGGGGTTTTAGGGGTTTTAGTGTTTAGGGCTTTAGGGTTTTGGGGTTTTAGGGGCTTAGTGTTCAGGCTTGAGGATCTAGGGGTTTAGGGTTTAGTGTTTAGGGGGTTAGGATCTAGGGGTTTAGGGTTTAGTGTCTAGGGGTGTAGGACTTTGGGATTTAGGATTTTGGAGTTTCGGGGTGCGTTCTTGTTGTTATCATCCTGAGACTTAGTATTAGTTGTGTCGCTTCCGGTTGTTGGGGGCCCGCACTTTTTTTTCTTCTTACCGTTGGCGGTCCCCGGCGGCCCTTGGTAACGTTGGCGGTAAGTTAAGGATTTTAAAAAATTTAAATGCTGGCCTCCGGCCTCCAGCCCAGCCCC